GAGCAGGGAGCCCGATGCGGGGCTCGATCCCAGGACTCTGGGATCATGACCTGAGCCGAAGGCAGACGCTTAACGACTGAGCCACCCAGGTGCCCCGGGAGTCAAGGATTTTAAAGCCAGAAAAGCTGACTTTCGGATATAAAAGGAAAATTGTTATCAGAATGCAATAAGTCAGATTTATTTCCACAAGTCCTTTCTTGGGAATCTACTAGAAAATGGGTTTCACATGATTGAAATGACTGTAAAGAAATAGGTGTTATATGCAACTAATGAATCGTTGAACACTACAACAAAAAAAGTATTTCAATATTCAAAATTTAAAAAAAAAGAAACAGAACAACTGGTAGTAAGCATTAAATATACAGTTATTTGTTGAACTAAGACTACCTGGGAGAGATTATAATATGTAAAGGCTATAAGACCCAGTGATACATAACAACTGAAAATGGAGGGGAGATTAGGATAGCAAGTACAAAAAGTTTTAAACTGTTTTCAGTTATCATAATTGGTAGTGGTAGCATATTCTTAGTCTAAGAGCTCTTTATAAAGTAGGATTATACAAACAAGTTACTGTGGAATTTTCTATTTCCACTGACCCTTGTGTCCTTGAAAATCAGGAGTCTCAGTATGGAAGAAAGGAGATCAAGATGTAATATAGATGAAATTAAGTGAAAGCCCTGTAGTCCTAAATTAGAAATATCAGTAGTAGCTCATGATGTACTAGGTCTAGGAAATAATAAACAACTCATTAACACTGAGCATGCCTACCACCCAGATTATTTTGAAATCCAGTTTCCTACTAAAAGGAACCACAGCTTCTTGAGAAATGGCTGATTGCATATCTAGGGCAGAAAATATACAAGTTGAGCTTGTAACTTCTTGATATACTAGAGAATGAGAAAACTTTTAAAGATTAAATGGTCATGTCAACAGGACTCAGTTGGCAACATAAGGAGGCCCTCACTGGCCAAAGATGGGAAAATTTGAGCTTCAACAATGAGAGCAATTTTAATGGATTGAAATTTATCAAAATATATTTAAATCCATTACTCTATAAAACAATGATAGTTGGTCATTTTACAGAGGATGGTAAGGAACCAATTTATTATCTTGAAAACTGATAAATGGAAAGAATCAAACATTTATCTTGACTTTCTTATATGAAATGTACCACAGTATAAGCAAATCCTAGATGAGGGGAAATGTCTCTTTATAAAAATATTCCAACCAATATATGAAAAAGAGATGATAGAATCAGAATATCACCATTTTACACTAATGAGTGACTTAATGGATCTAGCCATTGAGCATCCGTAGCTACCAACATCACAAAGGGAGAGATATCATTATATCTCTAATGAAAGAATATACCACCACATACCATCTGGAATCTGAATCTGATCAAATCTCTAGATCCAGCTGCAAATTACTATGAAATACATATGAGGACAGAGGAATAGAATTAACTGCACCCTGAGTATGCAATGAGCAAAATCCTAACTGTGGAAACTCTACAGATCAAACAGCCCAGATACTCTTAACAGACAAAAGATGAAAGAAAGGGATGGAAGGGGAACCTATAGATTAAAAGAGACTTGAAGACATATCAAGTTTTTTTTTTTTAATTGGGAGGATTAAACTCTGGTGTGTAGGAATGAAAACTTGGGTGATAAAAACAAAGAAATGCAAGACAGCAAATCACTATTAAAGTCAGGATAATAGTAACCTTTGGAGAGAGAGAGAGAAGGCTAAGATTGGTACGGGATATATGGAGGGGCATCTATGGAGGGTTGGCAAAGCTTTATTTTTTTACTTGGATGGTAAACGTAAGGGTGTTGACCTTATGATTCACTAAACTTTATATTTATTTTTCTCTGGTTTTCAGTATCTGCATTTTATTTTATATAATAATATGCTTTTTAAAAACAGATATGCAGACAAATTTATAGAAATAGAAAATAGGTTATTCGTTGCCAAGGGCTCCAAGGAAATGGAGAGTGACTGCTAGTGGGTACAGGATTTCTTTCTGAGGTGATTAAAATGTTCTAAAATTGATTATGGTGTTGGTTTCACAACTATTAAAAAGCGATTGAATTGTGTACTTTAAATGGGTGAATTGTATAGTGTGTGAATTATATCTCAATAAAGCTGATATATAGATATATAAATATATAGATATCTAACATTAGACAGGTAAATATAGATATAGGTAGATATGTAAGGATACCAAATTAATAGTGGTTAATTGGGGGAAGAATGGATTTGGTATGTGGGAAGTAAGTCAAAGATGATGCTCACTTTCTATAAAAGTATTTCTGAATTGACTATTTTACAATGATCACATATTGCCTTCACTTTTAAAAAATAATCTTGAACACTAGCTTAGTGCTGTTAATAGGATTTCTGCAATCATGGAGATGTTCTACATTTGCATTATGCGATACAATAGCCAGCCACTAGCCACATGCTACCCTTGTGCACTTGAAATGTGGCTAGTGAGACTGAGGAAATTATTTTTTAATGTGACTTAATATTAATTAGGTTTAAATAGCCATATGTGGTTAGAGGCTGCCATGTTGGATAGCACAGCTCTAGAACAATAAGACAGAGGAAAACATACTCTTTCATATCCCAGGATCACAAGCCCAGGAGGTAGGTGTGAGTGTGTGTGTTTTCCAGGACGATTCACTCGCCATCTAAATATTCTTTCCATCAACGCCTTTGAGGATGACATTTTAACCAAGATTTTCAGTTCAATTGCTGACTGGCACTTTGGGAAAGGATTTGACGTGATGTTCTTAAGGTAAGAGGTTCCTGTGTCTTCCACAATATTGGCCCAGATCCTCAGTTCTGGCCCTCCTTGATGAATCTCCCTTTCTCTTCCTCCCAAGGTATGGAAAGATGCTGGTACAAGCTACTATGACAATTTATAAAGCTGCAGTTGAGAATTTCTTGCCAACTCCCTCCAAGTCTCATTACGTCTTTAACTTACGGGACTTTTCACGGGTTATCCAAGGGGTACTGCTCTGCCCTCACACCCACCTGCAGGTCAGACACTATCATTTCTGTTATCAAGTTCATTCAGCAATAGCCTTAGCTACATGAATAAACAGTGATAATAGTAATAGCTAACTTTTATTAAGCATTTATCTCTGCTAGGCATTGCGCTAAGTATTTTATAAACATTATCTTGTTTAATGTAACACAGTCCACCCCAGGATTTAGAAAGAAAACTACCAACTCAGGTACCACCTTCCATTCATACAAATAATTAACTCTGGATTTTTAGGATGTGGAAAAATTTATCCGACTTTGGATCCATGAGGTTTATCGGGTCTTCTATGACCGTCTGATTGACCATGAGGACAGACAGGTCTTCTTCAACATGGTGAAGGAAACCACATCCAGTTGCTTCAAGCAGACTATGGAGAAGGTAAGCCAGATCCTATGAGCATTTGGCCTCAGAAATGGTCCCAAATATTTGACTATGTTAGTCTCAGGTTTCAAGTTTCCTTCCTAGTGGAGACTCACAGCTCTGCTTTCTGAATCTCAGGAAATGGGATTAAGTCATCTAGTCATTTGATTTGATGATATTATACTTGGCCCAATTTTGTTTCACTTCCCTGATAACATATACATTTGTATCTATTCAAAGTGGTTTATGATCTGATGTAATTGTTTATAATTAACTTAAAATACATTTTTAAGGTTAATTAATTTGTGAGATGAGAAATGAACTGTGAAATTTTTATGGTTTGATTGAGGCCCTGGTAAAGCCTAAGTAGAAGAGTGCCATGTTTCCCATTTGTAAATATTTTCTCTTCCCATTTTGATGTAAGGAAAGTTGTTTTAAGCCTATGTGTTTACATCATCTAGTTGTACCTCTATTTTTAAGAAGCTGTGATTTCTCCACAGAAAAATTGCAGGTGTTTCATGTTGCATCCAGAGGCCAAGTGCAGAAGCACTGCCAGGTTCTAATATCAGGAAGAGAAAGCATCTAGAACATTCCTACTCTAGCCACAGAGTGGGGGCCAGGGGTAGTACCTGTACCTTTGTTTGGTGAAGGAGCAAGCACATAAAAAAATTGGTGCCATCCTTCAACCGCCACTGGGATCTCACAGCCTGACCACCAACATTTTAACCATTTGGCAAACAGATCAACTCTCACTTTCATGCTTTTTTCTCTAATGCCCTCTCGTCATAGTCTTCACACCCATCAGATCCAAATATTGTGTTATAAAAAAAATTATTGATGGACCCTCACTTTGCAGAATATGCTCAGAGGAAACAAGCATATCTCTTGTTCCCTCCCTCTATAACCTCCCACTGCCAACTTGGTTGGGCCACTGGTGGAATGCCTGGCTGAGATTTATCTTTCCCACAGGTCCTCATTCACCTGTCACCCACTGGAAAGATTGTCGACGATAATATCCGTAGCCTCTTCTTTGGAGATTTCTTCAAGCCAGAAAGTGACCCAAAAATCTATGATGAGATCACTGACCTGAAACAGCTTACAGTGGTCATGGAGTACTACCTGGAAGAGTTCAACAACATCAGCAAGGCCCCAATGTCTTTGGTCATGTTCAGGTTTGCCATTGAGCACATTTCCAGGATCTGCAGGGTCCTGAAGCAGGACAAAGGCCACTTGCTCCTGGTGGGCATTGGGGGCAGCGGGCGGCAGAGTGCCAGCAAACTGTCCACATTCATGAACTCATATGAGCTGTACCAGATTGAGATCACCAAGAACTACTCAAGCCATGACTGGCGGGAGGACCTGAAGAAGATCATGCTGCAGGTTGGAGTGGCCACCAAGAGTACTGTGTTCCTCTTTGCTGATAACCAGATCAAGGATGAATCATTCATCGAGGACATCAACATGCTTCTGAACACAGGGGACGTGCCCAACATCTTCCCAGCTGACGAGAAGGCTGACCTTGTAGAGAAAATGCAAATGGCAGCCAGGACAGAAGGCGAGAAGATCGAGGTCACTCCTCTTTCTATGTATAACTTCTTTATTGACAGGGTGAAGAAGAACCTTCACATTGTCCTTGGTAAGAAGAAGCAAACTCAATTTTCCCCTTTCCTCTGGAGTGCCCTAAACTCAGTCCTCTTACAGTGGTCCAAGGATTGATCTAGCCATGGCACTCACCCAGGGGTTTGTGCCTGAATTCCCGTGGAAAATGACCCTCCCCTAAACCACTATTTTAAAATTGTTCCACTCTTCTCAATTCTTTTTTTTTAAAGATTTATTTATCTATTCCAGGGAGAGAGAGAGAGCAGGAGGAGGGGCAGAGAGAGAAGGAGAGAGAGAATCTCAAGCAGACTCTACACTGAGCACTGCGCCTAATGCAGGGCTCCATCTCATGACCCTGAGATCATGACCTGAGCTAATATCAAGAGTCGGACTACTAACTGACTGAGCCACCCAGGCACCCCTCTTTTTTATTATTTAAATTTTACTTAGTTAACATACAGTGCGATATTGGTTTCTGGAGTAGAACAACACCCAGTGCTCATCACAAGTGCCCTCCTTAATACCTATCACCCATCTAGCCCATCCCCCCATACTCTTCTCAGTTCTCTAAATTCTCCTCTGAACCTTCTCCTTCCTTTTAGTGCATTACCCTGGTGGCCTCATATCTGGAGTTCTCTCTGTGAATGACATCTCCAATCTATCCAGAAACCTAGGGGTTATATTTAATACTTTTCTCTCATGTACCATGTCCTGTCAGTTTTTACTTCCTTGCTTTCTCTTAAAACCACCCATTTATCTCCATCCCCACCACCTTTTCATTAGCTAAATTGCCATCATCTTGCCCAGACTCACCTCTGCAACCTTCTAACTATTCTATGTCCACTCTTGTCCATTCCAGACCAGACCTTTCTGTTCCACTGACTCAGGATGGTTTTTTTTTTATATTTATTGCAAATATGATCATTGTGTGTGTACACACACACACACAAACACTTAATATGCTTTCTATCAGGATAAATGCCAAAATTCCTAATCTATGGTTTTATAAGGCCACCTGCCATACTGTCCCCTTTATTCTCTCCACTCTCCTCTCAAACCAAGCTTACCATTCTCTCTCTGTTCTTCAGCCACAATGACTTCCTCATATTTCCACCTGTGCATTATGCTTCCTCCTACCACATTGAGCCTAAATTAAAAAATGTATGGAATTTAGCCAGAATTTGTGCTTGGATGGAGATGGGGTCAGAAACAAGCCGATGGACCCCACTCAGCTTCCATAAGTAACTATGTATGGGGCATCCATGGCTCCCTTAAGTCTGAATCAGCACAAATAGAGCAAGAAGATCAAAGGGCACAAACCATGCTGTCTAAGTGATGCAAAAGATCTGGAAAGGAGAACAGTAGGCATGGGAGACCAGTCAGAAGGCTATTATAATATACTGAATCCCCATCACGAAGTTGAATGAAAATATCCTATGATTCCCCTGTGCTTCCCAGGCATTCATCATAACTATTCCTGTTGCACCCCTGGAGTACCAACAGGAAACCAACCCCTTACCCACCAGAATCCTTGGAAAGAACTGCCTGGCTCCTTGCCTTGGAGGAAGGAAACTAACCAAGTCTGCTTTTCCTTAGCCATGAGCCCAATTGGGGATGCCTTCCGGAACCGCCTGCGGATGTTCCCTTCACTGATCAATTGCTGTACAATTGATTGGTTCCAGTCCTGGCCCACGGATGCCCTGGAGTTGGTAGCCAACAAATTTCTGGAAGATGTGGAACTTGATGACAATATTCGGATAGAGTAAGCATTAGCTGCATTTTAGTACCCTAACCAAATATTCCAAATTGAAAATCCAGATATTGACTGTATTGTTATTATTGTTTTAAGATTTCTCAATTTCTGTATAGAAAACCACATTTAGTTAGATATTTAATAAAACACCTTTCCTGAAAAAGAATGAAATTTCATTGTTCAGAATTGTCCTGGAGATGCACTATTGTCATAGCTATGAGAACCTAGCTCTAATAATATAGCTATTTCCAAAGTTTTAGAGCATACATTCTCAGTAGGGGTGACAGCGCTACCAAGGGGATGAAAATTGGTTATTATGAGGGTGAAAAAAAACTTAGTCTTTTATGTATAAAGCACAGATAAAAACAACCCAAAAAGTGCACTTAATTTTAGCTAGAGTAAGGGAAGAGATGAGAATGTTGACTTCCTGGGTGCCCCATGAAGAGAGTGGTCATGTCATCTGCTTTGTCGAACTCTGTATCCTTAGTGTCTAGCAGGTGCCTGGTACAGTAATTCAGTTACTGTTTATTAAATGAATGAATGGAAAATGAAGAAGTAGATAGGGGTCAGAATATTGATGGCTATAAATTCCATTTTAAGAACTTTGAACTTTATGCTTTCGGCCAGAAGACCCTTAACTTGGGTCCATAGGCTCATGAACAGAATTCAGAGGATCACTTAATGTGAATGGAGAAAAATTATATGTTCATTTTCACTGACATCCAACTGGTATTTTGAATTTATTTCAATAATGAATGTAGGCAGTAAATCCCAGTAGGATTAGCAGGACTTGTTAACAACAGGAATCACAGTTGTGTTTTTTTTTAATAACTCACTCAGTCATTATAGTTACATCAGTATATCATTTCCTTCAAAGTTGTGGTAGGTTTTAGACCTGCTGCCCAATCTTATTATTTAATGTAGAGGTCAGCACAGCATGATCTACTGGCCAAGTCCAATTCATAGCCTGTTTTTATAAGTAAAGTTTTTTTGGAACACAGCCATGCCATTTTTTTCCCACACAGCAGACTTGAGTAGTTACTACTATTCAACCATGTGGACCATTGATTTTTACTATTTGCAGATAGTAAAACAGTTTTACTTTCCAGAAAAAGTTTGCTGACCCCTGACATATCACAAATTTGGTTTTTTAAAATATTTTGAAAATGATTTCAACATAATTGGTTCCTTTTGTAATCCAATATATTTTTGTTTTATGCATTTTAAAACATTATTCTGCAAAATTCAGAGACTTCACCAGACTGCCAAAGATTAAGAGCTCCTGCTTAAGCTCTGGTGATTCCCCCAAATGATCAGAAATGGAAATTACTTGCTTGAAAATCGTTCTAGTAAGAATATACACCTCTCGGGCGCCTGGGTGGCTCAGTTGGTTAAGCGACTGCCTTCGGCTCAGGTCATGATCCTGGAGTCCCGGGATCGAGTCCCACATCGGGCTCCCTGCTCAGCAGGGAGTCTGCTTCTCCCTCTGACCCTCCTCCCTCTCGTGCTCTCTGTCTCTCTCTCATTGTCTCTCTTGCAAATAAATAAAATCTTAAAAAAAAAAAAAAAAGAATATACACCTCTCCAAAACTTCTCGCAGCTCTGTTGACCTGTCTTTGAGAATTTGGGACTCTAGGTCTCTCTGGAGGACATTGGGCCTGCCTAACCATCCTCTTGTCCTCGGTAGGGTCATCTCCATGTGCAAATATTTCCAGGAGAGTGTGAAGAACCTGTCGCTTGATTATTACAACACACTTCGCAGACACAACTACATCACCCCCACCTCCTACCTCGAATTGATCCTAACCTTCAAGACACTCCTGAATACCAAGAGGCATGAGGTTGATATGATGAGGAACCGTTACCTGACAGGTCTGCAGAAACTGGACTTTGCATCTTCACAGGTGAGCACTGCCACAGGAGAACAGGGACAAAGAGGTCCAGGATTAGGCGGATGCAGTGAGGCTCTTGTTCAGGTGCAGAATTTAAGAGGTCACTATATAAGGACAGCATCTACTCCTATACTTGCAGAGCTCACCTTGCTTGCCTCAGCCTCAACCCAGCCCTATGAGATTCTGTCTTTCTTTAAGATTTTGGTATTTTGTTCATCATGGATGAATCCCGAATGTGTTATCTCACCTCTTGGGCCTCAGTTTCGTCTTCTGTATAAACGGGCTGTGTTCCACACAAAGAAACCACGATGCAGAGAGGCCAGGAGATTTGCCAAGATCATACCTGCAGCCTCGTGAGTAGCCAGTGCAAGTGATCGGGCCAAAACTGAAACTCAGCTCTGCACAATTCCAGAACCTGTGCTCCTCACCAGGCCAGCATGCTGTGTTTCTCCCACACGCTTGCTGAGAACAGTGGTTGCACGAATGTGCATCTGAGCTGCCTTAGAAGGTAGAATCAGGGCCAGTGGATTTAAAAAATGGCACAACTCTCCTAAGACGAAGTGAGCTCTCCACCATTAGAGGTGTTCAAACAGAGGTGGGAAAACCACTTGACAGGAATGCTTTAGAGAGCATCAGACTCTTGGGAAAAGTGGCCTTGAAAGTTCCTCTTATCCCAGGTATCTCAGGCATATGTGTTTTTTTTCATTGACTATGAAAAAAAAAGTAAGTTTTTTCCCCTAACTTACTTTTATTCTATCTCTTGCTACTCCCAATACTAAAATTTAGGCTCAAGAGCATGAAGGAAACTGTACCTTTTAAAAAATGTATAAGTTTACCATTCTATGTCTAGTGTCTAGCACCGTGCTTGATAATTTACAACACATAGTATGAACTCAGTAACTAAGGACTGAAAGATCAAAGGGAGAAACTCCAGCCAGCAAATGCATACCCAGTACCATGGTAAAATCATTAGTATTTTCTGCGTAATGATAGTTTAGAGAATTGTTTCAACTCCTGCCAACCGTGCCATTTTCAGCATTGACATAGCTGACCCCCCCACCCCCCTCCCTTGGTAGGTGGCAGTAATGCAAGTACAACTGACTGCTCTCCAGCCTCAACTCATCCAGACGTCTGAGGAGACTGCCAGGATGATGGTGAAAATTGAAGAGGAGACGAGAGAAGCTGATGCCAAGAAACTTCTGGTGGAGGCGGATGAAAAAGAATCCAATGCTGCTGCTGCCATTGCTCAAGGAATCAAGGTATAAAGAGCCAAGAGGAAAAGGGAGGGAAGCAGCATTTTTCTGGGCTTATCCAGTCTCTCACTAGCCCTCAGGGTATGTGTGGTCAGGCCCATCCTGCGGAAGAGAAGAGTGAGGCTTGAAAAAGACAGATGACTTTCCAAGCATCACGTAGCTAGTAAATGATGAAGCAGGTCTCTGTGACACCTGGCTCTCTCCAGGAAGAATTATTGTTTTCCACATATTCTCCATCTCACTCAGAGTCAAGGCCCACAAGACCAAACATAATCTAACCTCATCTCATTACTTTTCCCTCATTCACTCTGCTCTGGCCACACCGGCCTCCTAACTATTCCTCAGAGAAGTACAAAGGCACTCTCCCACCCCAGGGCCCCTGCACTGGCTGTTCCTCTGCCTGTCTCCTTCACCTCCATCATGTATTTGCTCAGATGTGCCTGGCATGTTACGGGTGTGGAATGAATCATTGTCAAATGACAGAATGTTGAACCTAGAAGACCCCACTTGAAGGTGATTCTTATATCAAAGAATAGCCCTGGGAAGGGCTTTACCTACATTCTGATATTAGAAGAGAATCTGATTAACATTCCTGTGATGTTATATATTTCTCAGCACTTTCAATTGCATAATTCCATTTGACTGTCACGACTGCCTTGGACTTAGGAATGACAGGTATCAATGACACTGAAGTTTCGTGGCAAACAGAGTTGCACAGCTGCTTAATGGGTTTAGAATCCAGGGCTATTGGCACTTAGCTCCAGATACTTGTCCCTGCTCAGCAGTTAGAAAATCTTTTTGATCATTCTTCAAAAAAGAGCTTGAGTGAGGAGTAGCTTGTGTCTGGCTTCTAGGATAAATAAGTCATGGGGCACTTTCTTGAAAAGGACAGGCCTTCCAGACTGGTTTTTCTCCAGTGAGTCCGGAGACCTGACCTTTCATAGATTCCCTTGGGTCCGAACCCTGGCTTCAGAGTCACACAGTGAATGCCCTGGATAAGAGAGGTGTGCTCACCCATAGTCCCAGGGGCATAGCCAGGAGCCCCATGGAACCATAAAAGATGGTGACCACCAGGGACCAGAATCCAGTGGGCAGTGGGTGTTTTGCCATGCCAAGATGATAGTAATAGCTACTACTTATCAGCACCATGCTGGTTTCTTGTAATCCTTCATTTAACAAATGTTTATTGAATACTTGCTGTGTGCTTCCTAGGCAGTGGAATAAGACAGACAAAATTCCTTCCTTCATGGAGACTGTATTCTCTTGTCCTTGATTTATGTTGCCTTTTATCACTCCAACAGCCCTGCGAAGCACATGGTATCATTCCCAGGTTACAGATAAGGAAATCACGGTACAAGAACTTTAATGACTTGTCCAAGGTCACGCGGCTACCAAGTGACCGAATCTGGGTTCAAACCTAGAGTTCTCAGATTCCGAAGCCCTTGCATTTGGCTACTATTCCAGAAGTGGCAAACTGGTAGCTAGGGGGTGCATACTTACACTGTGACACACACAGTATTTTTTTTTAATCTGAAATAATCCTCCACTTGTAAGAAATCAAGAGATTTGAAGTAGAAATTCTGAATGTTCAGTTTTTCTTCGGAAGAAAAATCAAGCATCCTGGTAGCACTGGACCTGCATTCCTGGGTTGCCCCCATCAGCAGTGTTGACTAGATGCTGCCCCATGTGGCTTCCAGCTCAACAAAGCCCCACCCAACCCACTTCCCACACTCAGATCACAGGCCTGGCCCCAACAGGCGCATGAATTTGCAATTCTTCCATGGTTTTTTTACTAGAATTGGGCATGTTGGGACTCAGTATTTGCTCTGCCCCTTCTGAAACTCAGTTTTCTCATCTATAAAATGGGGATTTTAAGAGAAAAACATGTAAATTTTGTAGTATGTGTCCGACACACAGAGTTTAGTGGCAAACATTCATTCTCTCAAACTGTTGTTCTTTACCTTGAACCAAGTGGACTTGCCCCTTTGATAATGGGCAGCCTCTTGCCACGTGTAGGTACCATCACACCCAGGATTCTGCTCCACAATGTCAGGGGCAAACAGGGACTCGCTGGAACAGGAGAGATGCTGGAGGTGACATGGAGACAACCCACCACACCCATTCCTGGGCAGTAAACTGCTGCCTTGGGTTTCGGTGTCAAGGGTGAGGTCTGACGTTTTGCCCTCTCATCCCTGAGTGTCAGGAGTGACATCCTGGAGGTGAGTCACGAGGTGCATCCAGGGAGGAAAAAGAAGCTGTGCTTGCTCTGAGTTTCCCCGAGGACCAGACCCCTCCCTGAACCTCTCAGAGTTACAGTGCTCCACACAAGGACTGTAATTTTCTCCAATCTCCTCCCACCCCTAGAGATGAGACATCCTGGGAGAGCCCCCAGTGTGGTGACTCCTGCAGCAGAGAGGCTCAGCCAGGCTTGTGGAATCCATCGAGGGATGGGGAGGAGACTGGCAGAAACGAGGCCCCAGACCCTTGCTTCCCAAGTACAGCAGTTTGCTTAGAGCAATCATTTCTTTTTAAGCTAATGAATCATTTCTTTTCCCCCTAATGAGGATATTAAGTGATGCCCAGAATGGCTGCAGAGTTGACTTTTTGTGTTTTGTCAGAGGGCACTGTGCTTTATACCTTTCAAAGAGCCCTTGTGCTCCTTGCATCGCTAAGCAACAGGGGTTTTTTTGGGTTTTTTGTTTTTTTTAGAGAGGTAGAGAGAGGGGAGCGAGAGAGAGGGTGGGAGGGGCAGAGGGAGAGAGAGAGTCTTAAGCAGACTCCTCACTGAGCATGGAGCCTGATGAGGGACTCAATCCCACAACCCTGAGATCATGACCTGAGTTGAAACCAAGAGTCAAATGCTTAACTGACTGAGCCACCCAGGCACCCCGGGGGTCATTTTTTTTTTTTTTAAAGATTTTTTATTTATTTATTTGAGACAGAGAGAATGAGATACAGAGAGCATGAGAGGGAGGAGGGTCAGAGGGAGAAGCAGACTCCCTGCCAAGCAGGGAGCCCGATGCGGGACTCGATCCTGGGACTCCAGGATCATGACCTGAGCCGAAGGCAGTCGCTTAACCAACTGAGCCACCCAGGCGCCCCCGGGGGTCATTTTTAACCATAATGTTTTTTATCATAGAAACAAATGATGACAGTAATAACACATATGAAAGAATATTTAAGAACTCAGCTTTAACACCTTCTCAATTTTCCAAGTTTCTTTCTAGCCCCTGTCTACACACATGGATAATTTCATGTTACTGCAGTCATAGTATCATTGCAGTTTGCATCATGCTTTTTTACTTCCTTAACATCGTATCACAAATGTTTTTCCAAAATGTCATATAATCATTTTAATGACCATTTTAAGTAAGTGCTTCTCTCATCAAGTAGCCATTCCCCTACTGGGCACAGAAGTCTATTCCTTCCTGCCCTGTTCTCAGTGTTTCGAGAGTATAAGCTGGAGTTTCTCAACAGCGCCGTGTGTCAGAACCACCTTTGGAGTTTGAAAAGTGCAGGTGCCCAGACCTCACCCAGACTGCATGAATCAGAATCTCTGGGTGTGGGGCCTGACCATGAGGATGCCCTAAATGTTCTTCAGTGACTCTGAGGCAGAGCCAGGGTTGAGAATCACTGTTCCCATAATATTATAATTAGAGCCTTTTCGAGGCACTTGACAAACAAGCTTGCTGGGACCCAGGCCGTGCTTCTTAGGAAAGGGAGCAGAGCTACTGGGCCACTGGAGGACAAGAAGCATGTGTGGGCCATTAGTTGTCTGGCACATTATAGGAAAGGAACATGGAACTGTTGATGACACCTGTGGGCACCTGGGATCATTGAAATCCACCAAGAATCCACAGCTGTGGCTAAGTCAATACCTTTGGTCTCCTCTGCCACCAAACTCTATCTGAAGCTGACCGTGAGAAACAGCAGGCTCGGGGTGCCTGGGTGGCTCAGTCATTAAGTGTCTGCCTTTGGCTCAGGTCATGATCCTAGGGTCCTGGGATCAAGCCCCACATCGGGCTCCCTGCTCGGCAGGAAGCCTGCTTCTCCCTCTCCCACTCCCCCTGCTTGTGTTCCCTCTCTCACTGTCTCTCTCTGTCAAATAAATAAATAAAATCTTTAAAAAAAGAAAGAAAGAAAGAAACAGCAGGCTTTGGTTTCAATTCTTTTCCTCTTGCCTTGCCCTCTGGGACCTATCCTAGGACTGAAGAGGGAGCAAACCAAGTTGCCCCTGGGATGAGCCATTTTTGCCATCTGAAGCAGAATATTCCATTTTGATATTGGGAACATCTGACAGGGTTCATGGGGGCAGGGTTGTTGCTGTAATATAATAAAGCCAAGGGGCGCCTGGGTGGCTCAGTCGGTTAAGCGTCTGCCTTTGGCTCAGGTCATGATCCCAGGGTTCCCTGCTTAGCGGGGAGCCTGCTTCTCCCTCAATCTCTGCCTGCCACTCCCCTGCTTGTGCTCTCTCTAATCAATCAATAAATAAAAATCTTTAAAAAAGTAATAAAGCCAAACAAAACTTTGATGCAAGTGTATTTAAAAAACAGAAAACCTGGGGTGCCTGGGTGGCTCAGTCGTTAAGCATCTGCCTTCAGCTCAGGTCATGATCCCAGGGTCCTGGGATCGAGCCCCCCATCGGGCTCCCTGCTCTGCGGGAAGCCTGCTTCTCCCTCTCCCACTCCCCCTGCTTGTGTTCCCTCTCTGGCTGTCTTTCTCTCTGTCAAATAAATAAAACCTTTAAAAAAAAAAAAAAACAGAAAACCTGAAATAAAGAATCCATGATATACACATGCACATGCATGTACACACAGATGTAAGGGGAAACCCACCTTTATTTTGTTTGCCTATTGTAAACCTGCGGGATGTGGACTTCCTGATGCTTTGTCTAAGAATCCTTGTTCTCTTGTGATGCTTCACTTCAGTCGTGGTGGTGTGATGACTCGTTCGGCTGAGTGACTGACAGAGAATTCATGGAGTGGGAACCAGGGGCCCACAGTTGGAGCTTTGTGACCTGAGCTAACTCATTTTGCCTCCTGAGAACTTGGGGTTTTTTTCTTTGTGTTTTTTGGTTTTTTATTTGGTAATTTGGCTACTAAATAATCCTTAAGATCCCTCCCAGTTCTAAAATCTTATAATGTTAACCTTTCTTTTAAAAAAAAAAACATTGAGGGGTGCCTGGGTGGCTCAGTTGGTTAAGCATCCGATTCTTGCTTTCGGCTCTGGTCATGATCTCAGTGTTGTGGGATCAAGCCCTGCTTCGGGCTCCCCACTCAGTGGGAAGTCTGCTGGAGATTTTCTTGCCCTCTCCCTCTGCCCCTCCCTACCGCTCTCGCTCTCTCTCTCTCCCCCTCCATTTCTCCCTCTCTCTCCAAAATAAATAAATAAATCTTAAGTAAATAAATAAACATTGAGATATAATTCCTATACCATTAATACTCACCTTTTTAAGTTGCATTTCAGAGAGCTGTTTAGTACAGTCACGGAGGTGTATACGTATCACAACTAATCCTAGATGATTTTTGTCACCCCACAAAAAAACCTAGATCTGTGAGTAGTCACTCCTCATTACTCCGCCTCCCCAGCCCTTGGCAACCACTAACTCACTTTCTGCTTCTATGGATTTTCCTTTTCTGCACATTTCATGTAAATGGAATCATAGAGCAGGTGGCATTTTATGTCTGGCTTTCTTTGTCTTTATGGCTGAATAATATTCCGTTGTATTAATTTTGTCTTTGAATGAAAAATAAGGGACAAAACATGCACCATCTCCTTTTCCCGAGCTCACTACCCAGCTGTAATCTCTGTTGCCATTCCTCATCCTTAAACTCTTGCCTTAAACTCCACCCCATCTCCAAGTTTCACTTTATCCCTGACTACCCCTGCCTCATCTCTGAGCTACCGTACATCCCAAACCTCACCCCATCCCTGACCTTCTCCCACCCCTCATGCCTTATTTCTTCCCCAAACTTGCCCTAACCCCCTTCCCAGCTGTCACTCAACCCCTGGGCTTCATCCTTTCCTCCATTTCTCCATCCATCCTTGATCTGTGGGTGTGAAGTTACCCACTGCATATTATCTCTTGGGAATTTGTTTAAAACCCAAACAAAGCTTGATTTTTTTTTTTTAAGATCACAAATCACATCAAAACCATAGCCCCGAAAGTCCGTGCACGCCTCCCTGCTGCCACTCGGTGGTTAGAGCCACCCTCCCGTGCTGAACTCCAGGAGGGGGCACCATCCTGGGAGGACGTGGAGGGGCAGGAAGAGCCTCTCCCAGCTTCCTCTATGAAGTGAGTGCCGGGTGCGTGGGGCACCAGGCACTCATCCCTCTACCCCCTCCCCGTGCTGCCCGCAGGATGAATGTGAGGGGGACCTGGCAGAGGCCATGCCAGCGCTGGAGGCCGCGCTGTCTGCACTGGACACCCTGAACCCAGCAGACATCTCGCTGGTGAAGTCCATGCAGAACCCACCCGGCCCTGTCAAGCTGGTCATGGAGAGCATCTGCGTCATGAAAGGGCTGAAACCAGAGAGGAAGCCAGACTCCAGCGGCAGTGGTAACCCCCGTCGCCCCCCCTCACTCCCCCTCAGTGGCCTTCACAGGCTGCTCTTCCCTGGCAGGAGGGGTACCGCGCCCCTCACCCACGTGCCCCAAGCTCATGCATGCTTATCTGCACAGCCCTCTCCTGTGCCTTCACCTTCCTCACTCAATCAGTCAGGGAAAAGACAGGCATCTTTAGGTGAGGCTGAGCTTAGTCAAGGCCCCTGCCTCTGCAAATCATTACAAAAATGAAGGTCATGGGGGGCACCTGGGTGGCTCAGCTGGTTAAACATCTGCCTTCCTTCAGCTCAGGTCATGATCTCATTGTCCCGCATCAGGCTCCCTGCTCAGCGGGAGAGTCTGCTTCTTCCTCTCCCTCTGCCACTCTCTCTCTCAAATAAATAAAGTCTTTAAAAAAAATGAAGGTCATGGGTACGAAAGGACTGACAGAGTAGTGAGTGGTTGCGGGGAAGAGAAACAAAGAGCTAGAGAAAGATAAACAGAGAGAAACTGACGGATAACCAGAGAAGGAAAGACAGAGAATGAGACAGAACTGCAGAGAGATGGAAAGATCAGACAGCTGGAGGGGCACACAAAGATATAATGAACTGAGCAAGAAGTCAGGAGGGAGGGAGGCAGACAGAGGGAACAGAAGAGCTGGAAATGGAGACTTAGGGGCAAAGAGATGGGGCACAGGGAGGCAGAGACTGAGGGGAGGAAGACAAGGAATCAGATTTAGAAACAGGGAGAAAGGATTAGGACAGGGAGGAACACTCCTATAATTGAACCTAGAAGCATTAATAGGTAGAGTATTCGTTCTCCTTAAAATCTGAATGAGATGTAGGACTTTGTATTATTAATAGCAGTGTCTTAGAACTGAACAAGGACTTTAAAAACCAGCCTCACTAATATTCCCTGCCTTTTGAATGCTCCTGTCCTGGGAACAGTCCTGCTATTCCTCTGAAATGCTCAGAAACCCTGATCCCTCATTCAGAAACCTCGGGCTTCTGCTTCCCATTGGCTGGCATTTCCTCTTCCGGGATGGTTGTCAGGCCAAAAACCACATGAAGAAGATGCAGAGGTGACCAGGAATGGACAAGCAGGAAGTGGACTTCACAGGAGAATCCCTTAGGGAAGCAGCTGAGTAAGGATGAGCCAGCCCAGCACTTCTCCACCCTGACTGCACCCTAGAATCACCCACAGAGTGTAAAGAATGCTGAAGCCCATGCCTTCACTTCCAGACACTCTTAATCCATTGGTCTTGGGCACAGCCTGAGCTGTATTTTTTTTAAGCTCCCAAATGATCTAAGGTGCAGCCGGGTTGGAGAAGGGCTAAGATACGCAAAACATGGCCAAGGTCACAAAAGTTCATCCTCTTCTTGGATCATTGATGATCTGCAAATGGACCACCATTCACCTTTTTTATTTTAAAATTGAAGCAAATGGTGTATGTTATTCATTGATCCTGCAGAATTTTAGCCAGAACATGAAGGTGGAACAAAAGAGCAATTGAATTCATTACTTTCGAATGTAAATGAAGCAGATAATTTTCCTAAATGCAGACAAAAACCTTCATGGGAAATATTTGTTTGGTTACTGTGCTTGCGTTAGAAACAGGACACATCTAGGGGCGCCTGGGTGGCTCAGTTGGTTGGGCGACTGCCTTCGGCTCAGGTCATGATCCTGGAGTCCCGGGATCAAGTCCCGCATCGGGCTCCCTGCTCGGCAGGGGGTCTGCTTCTCCCTCTGACCCTCCTCCCTCTCATGTTCTCTGTCTCTCATTCTCTCTCAAATAAATAAATAAAATCTTTAAAAAAAAAGAAACAGGACACATCTGACCTATTGTACTTAATATGATTTCTCAAGTATAACTTTTTTTTAAAAGCCTGTGAGGTTGGCAAATGTTTACGTGCTGTGAGCCAAAAGGGCTTCCAACTCATTTCCAGCATGTGAACAAAAGGGGTGTAGCCCCGGGATGGGATCGAGGCTCACTCAATCATTAGTCAGCAGGATGGGTGCTGGGGAGAATGAGGGCCCTGCTTTGTTACTGGGTAGGCCAAGGACGGCCTTTTGTATAGTTACAAGCCTACATGCTGCTTCCCCACCCTTGCTCTTTCTCTTGAGACTGCCTCACTCACAAGGACTGATTGAGTACCATCCAGCCCACCTCCCAGACTTGAAAAGGAATATTCAAAACACATACCCGTGGCTCCTTTGCCTTCTCTATGACTGGGACAAGGGGCAACATTCATTCGATAAATATTTATTGATAATTGAGTATCAGGCACTATGCCAGATTGTAGTAAACACAGCAGAAGCCAAAAAAAAAGGTTGCATAAACAGGCTGCATAAACACTGTAAAGGGAATGGACATTCTAGCAGCTGAGATGCAAGAAAATGCTGTGGGAGGGATAGAGTGGCCCAGCTTAGTAATGGAAATCTAGGGAGACCTCTCAGTGGAAGTGACTTTTATTTATTTTTTTAAAGATTTATTTATTTTATTTATTAGAAAGAGAGTGGGAGGTGCAGAGGGAGAGGGAGAGAGAAAATCTCAAGCAGACTCCCTGCTGAGTGTGGAGCCCAACGCAGGGCTCCATCTCACAGCCCATGAGATCATGACCCATGAGATCATGCCCTGAGCCGAAACCAAGAGTCAGAGGCTCAACCAACTGAGCCACCCAGGCACCGGGGAAGTGACTTTTAATTTTTTTTTTTTTAAAGATTTTATTTATTTATTTGAGACAGAGAGAATGAGAGAGACAGAGGGCACATGAGAGGGGGGAGGGTCAGAGGGAGAAGCAGGCTCTCTGCCGAGCAAGGAGCCCGATGCGGGACTCGATCCTGGGACTCCAGGATCATGACCTGAGCCGAAGGCAGTCGCTTAACCAACTGAGCCACCCAGGCGCCCCCGGGGAAGTGACTTTTAAAAGAGCTGAAGTCTGGTTAGGAGCCAGCTAGATGCCATTTACAGCCTAGGTGAAGGGCTCACAGTAGGGAAGCACTTAAGATCATTGAGGAGTTGAAGGAAGGTTCTTTCTGACTGAAGCCTAAGGAACAAGGCAGAGATGAGGTGGATGAGTTCCGTGGGCCTCCTGGACCACTGTGAGAAGCTTAGATTTTTCTTTATTTTATTTAGATTTTTTATTTCTAGAGCAATTTTAAGGTCACAGCAAAATTGAGAGAAGGGTACAGATTTCTCATATATTCCTAATCCACACACATGCATATCATCTCCCATTATTGTACCAGAGTGGAACATTTTTTAAAATTGATGAACCTACATTGACACATCATTATCACCCTGAGTCCATAGTGTATATTAGAGCTCACCCTTGGTATTGCACATTCTATGGGTCTGGACAAATATATAATGACATGTATCCATCATTATGGTATCAGACAGAGTATTTTCCTGCCCAAAACATCCTTGGCAGGACCTTGGATTTTTCCCCAAATAGGAGTAACCATTGCAAGCCTTTAAGTCTCAGCCAGAATGTCTTAATAGTAGTCCAATCTCCATTTCTTGTTCTAAACAGGTAAAATGATAGAAGATTACTGGGGAGTTTCAAGGAAGATTCTTGGAGATCTGAAATTCTTGGAGAGTCTTAAGACATATGACAAAGACAACATCCCTCCAGTGATCATGAAGCGGATCCGGGAAAGATTCATTGATCACCCAGATTTCCAGCCAGCTGTCATTAAAAATGTGTCATCTGCCTGTGAAGGTTTGTGCAAATGGGTGAGGGCCATGGAGGTGTACGATCGTGTGGCCAAAGTTGTGGCTCCCAAACGGGAGCGGCTGAGGGAGGCCGAGGCGAAGCTAGATACACAGATGCAGAAACTGAACCAGAAGCGAGCAGAACTGAAGCTGGTGGAAGACCGCCTCCAGGCCCTGAACGATGACTTTGAAGAGATGAATACCAAGAAAAAGACCTTGGAGGAAAACATTGAAATCTGCTCCCAAAAGCTGGTCAGGGCAGAAAAGCTGATCGGTGGCCTTGGCGGAGAGAAGAACAGATGGACAGAAGCCGCCCGGCAGCTGGAGATCCGGTATATTGATCTGACGGGGGATGTGCTGTTGTCCTCAGGGACTGTGGCTTACCTGGGGGCCTTTACTGTGGATTATCGGGCAAGGTGCCAGAAGCAGTGGTTGGCCCAGTGTAAAGACAAGGTCATCCCCGGCTCCAGTGACTTCAGTCTCAGCAACACGTTAGGAGATCCTGTAAAAATCCGTGCCTGGCAGATCGCTGGGCTGCCCATTGACTCTTTCTCCATTGACAATGGCATCATTGTGTCCAATTCCAGACGCTGGGCCTTAATGATTGACCCTCAGGGGCAGGCCAATAAGTGGGTCAAAAACATGGAGAAAGCAAATAAGCTGTCCATCATCAAATTCTCAGATGCCACCTATGTGAGGACACTGGAAAATGCTCTGCAGCTTGGCACTCCTGTCCTACTAGAAAATGTTGGAGAAGAGCTGGACGCCTTTATTGAGCCCATCTTGCTCAAGTCCACATTCAGGCAGCAAGGGGTTGAGTACATGAGGCTGGGTGAAAACATCATTGAATACTCCAGGGATTTTAAGTTATACATCACAACCCGTTTGAGGAACCCACATTACCTCCCTGAAGTTGCCGTGAAAGTCTGCCTCCTCAACTTCATGATCACACCCTTAGGTCTCCAAGATCAACTCCTTGGCATCGTGGCTGCCAAGGAGAAGCCAGAACTGGAAGAGAAGAAGAATGAGTTGATTGTGGAAAGTGCCAAGAACAAGAAGCAGCTAAAAGAAATTGAAGATAAGATCTTGGAGGTCCTCTCCCTGTCTGAGGGCAACATCCTCGAGGACGAGACTGCCATCAAAGTTTTGTCCTCCTCCAAAATGCTGTCCGAAGAGATCTCTGAGAAACAGGAAATTGCTTCAGTAACAGAAACACAGATCGATGAGACTCGGATGGGCTACAAGCCAGTGGCTGTCCACTCTGCCACCATCTTCTTCTGTATCTCCGACCTGGCCAACATCGAGCCCATGTACCAGTACTCCCTGACATGGTTCATAAACCTCTATGTGCATTCCCTAGCCCACAGCAGTAAAAGCGAAGAACTGGACCTTCGCATTGAGTACATCATTGAACATTTTACCCTCAGCATCTACAACAATGTCTGCCGCTCTCTGTTTGAGAAGGACAAGCTACTTTTCTCCCTCCTCCTGACCATCAGCATCATGAAAGAGAAAAAGCAAATTAATGAGGAGGTTTGGTATTTCCTTCTAACTGGAGGTGTCGCCCTGGACAACCCCTTCCCCAACCCAGCTCCTGAATGGCTGTCTGAGAAGGCATGGGCAGAAGTGGTCCGTGCCTCGGCATTGCCAAAAATGAAGGGCCTCAAGGAACATTTAGAACAAAATGCCGAGGAGTGGAAGCTCATCTATGACTCCACTTGGTCCCATGAGGAGAATTTCCCTGGATCTTGGAACTTCCTTAAGGGATTGGAGAGGATGGTGGTCCTACGATGTTTGCGGCCTGACAAAATCATTCCAGCTATTCGGGAGTTCATTGCTGAACACATGGGCGATGTGTACATCGAAGCCCCTACATTTGATCTCCAAGGGTCCTACAATGATTCCAGTTGTTGTGTACCGTTGATTTTCGTGTTGTCTCCAGGTGCAGACCCAATGGCAGGTAAGGGCAGAATGTTGTATAAAGAACATAAATGGTCCAGAATGCACAGTCGGGTAACAACAGCATGTCCCTTATAGCAGGAATCTCAAACTCAGATGCTTTGAAAGCCAGACCATTAACAGGCTCAGGTGGGGCTAGAAGGGACTACTGAAGATTTCTTTTCCCACCTAAAGGAAGCAGCTGCTACTCAGTTCCCAAGCATTGTGCAGTCTGATAATGTGAGCTCAGGATGGCCAGATCGCCTGATTTTTCAAGAGAAATGAGAAATGTGGAAATCACCCATTTTTACATTTTGATAACTCATTCACATTTTTTCCTAAAAATTGTGAGGACCAGATCAGGGCTAGTTTTAAGCCTGCTGGCTGTTAGTTTATCATCTTTTTTTTTTTTTAAGATTTTATTTATTTGAAAGAGAGAGAATGAGAGACAGAGAGCATGAGAGAAAGGAGGGTCAGAGGGAGAAGCAGACTCCCTGCTAAGCAGGGAGCCCAATGTGGGACTCGATCCCGGGACTCCAGGATCATGACCTGAGCCGAAGGCAGTCGCTTAACCAACTGAGCCACCCAGGCACCCTAGTTTATCATCTTTGTCTTAAATCATTTTCTGTATTGCTTCTCCCAGTTAGGCTTTTCTTTTGATTTTTAAATTAAATTTTTTTAAATGATTAATACTGTGTATAACTGTGTATAGTTTAAAAAAAAAAAAGCAATGCAGAAAAGTACAGAACTGTGGCTCAACCAGTGCCATTTTGTCCCCTCAAGGGACATTTGGCAAAGTGGGGTAACATTTTTTTTTTTGGTCACAACTAGGGGGTGCTACTAGAATATGGTAGATTGAAGCTGAGGTTGTTGCTAACCGTCTACCCTGCACAGGACAGTCCCCCACAACAAAGGATTATCCCAAAATGGCCCCAAATGTCAGTAGTGCTGAGGTTGAGAAACCATCATGCAGGGTGAAAGGTGCATCTTCCTCCTAACCCTTCCAGAAGTAACCATCATTACCAGTTTGTGTATCTTTCCAGAAACCGATTATTGCATATTAAAAGGTATGAGTTGTTCACAGGAATAGATTAGTTTTGTTCTGTTGGATCTCAAAGCTTTAGTCTTCTCTGTTACTGAATGAAGAAAGAGTACCAGAAATGCAAATGACAAAGGTTGCCACCCTCCTGTGAAAGCTGGGGAGTTTGACATCTATCCCGACCCAGATACAAAGCCAGCACCCCTGCCCCGCAGAGAAAGTCAGAGGAGCCAGCCGAAATGAAGTGGTACCCTTCCCCTTTCCCATACCACAGTGTTATTGTCAAAGATCAATTCATGGCCCCTTTCTAGTAGCTTTGTTCTTTTCCCCTATGTCCTTTACATGACAGATTTAAACAAGAGAAATGAGGGGAAACCAGGAAAGGTAAAGAAGAAAAATGGAGGAAAGGTCAGAGTATGTTCTGTAAAATGATGACAGGCCAGTTACATCCAAAGCCTTATGTTGCATATTCCTATCTGTCTGTGCTAGAGGCCTGATCAGATTCAGCTTGGAGAACTTCTCAGGAGACCTCATGGCTACTGTGTCCCTCGTAGTACCTCACATTAGGAAGCACATTCTATCTGGTTGTCTTTCCTGATTAAGATTGATCAGGGGACTCAGGCATTGTCAGTGTGATCTACCTCCCCATTCCACTCCCTTGTAAAGCTCCCCATTGGCCTCACACTTAATGTGATGATGGTTCTTAATCTTGGCTGCCCATGGGAATCACCTGGGAGGGCTTTAAGAAAAATCTCCAAGTGCAGGCCATTACCTCCACCAATTAAACTAAAATCTTTGTGGAATGAGGCCCAGGCATTATGTTTTATAAGCTTTTCGGGTAATTCCAGTATGTTTTGGAAACAACCGACCTGATGATTTTTAGCAGCCTTAACAAAATTATTCCCCAAATCCCTTATTTCATTAGGGGTTGCAAAACCATATTTTAATTCTATCACTCCTTCCACATTTATTAGCTGGAACTCTTCTATAAAGAAGAATTTTCCTTTGTCATCTCTTGGTTTACTCTGACTGTGTGTAGTTCAAAAAGGACCAGCAGACGTTTGGTTCATTCCTTGATTTCTCAGCTTTTGGATTAATGAATTGGTAACCTGCAAAGTTACTTAAGCTGTTAAGATTTTCTTTGAGCCATTGTGAGCCCATAGATTTTCTTTTCTTTTTTTTTAAGATTTATTTATTTATTTGAGAGAGAGAGAGAGAGCATGGGGAGGGACAGAGGGAGAGAAGCAGACGCTGCTAAGGGCAGAGCCTGACGTGGGGCTCGATCCCACAACCCTGAGATCATGATCCAAGCAGAAATCAAGAGTTGGACACTCAAATGACTGACTGAGCCATCCAGGCACCCCGTGAGCGCATAGATTTTAACATAGTGGGTGTTTCAAACATGGTGGTGTCTTATTATTTATCATTCTTTTTGATTCTCACGTCATTCAGTCCCCGGCCTGTGGGAGCTCCTTCACGCCTAAAGTTCTCACATAACCCCAGTAGTTTTTTATAGCTTCCTTGCTGTATAGAATTACCATGTATTCCGGGCTCAGCTTGTACAGACGTTTCTTGAAGGAACTCCAGTTCTTTCGGCAGAGGCCAGGGCATTTGGAAACCACAATCTGGGTCCTACCAGATGGATCATTGATTGAAGACCTTACTGCTTACTAATTCTCTTTCTGGCTGTGTCTACCCTGTTCGTTCCATCAGTCCTTTGAGTTTTTATCTTCAATGACTGTGCTTTCCATTTCTAGAAGTTTTATTTGTTTTATTCCAAATCCATGTATTTTTTTTTTCCACAGAATTCCGAGTTTCATTATGCTTTGTGGTCCGTCTTTTAATGATTTTTAGATGTGTTTCTTTCATGGTCTTTTTCAGAGATCATATTAATCTGCTAGAGCTGCTAAAACAAATACCAAAACTCAGTGGTTTAAACAAGAGAAATTTATTTTCTCCAAATTCTGGAGATTAAAAATCCAAAATCAAGGCATCGGCAGGGTTAGTTTCTTCTGAGGCCTCTTTCCTTGTCTTGTTTTTGGCCAACTTCTCCCTGAATCTTTATATGGTTTTCTCTCTGTGAGTGTGTCTATGTCCCAGTCTCCTCGTCTTATGAGGACACCAGTGCTATTGGATTAGGACCTCACCTAATGACCTCATTTTAATTTAATTATCCCTTTCAAAACCCCATCTCTAAATAAAGCCACATTCTGAGGTTCTAGGAATTAGGGCTTCAACATATGGATTTGAAAGGGACACAATTCAGTCCATAACAGAAACTGTACGTAATCTTTGACGGTATTAATTCTTCTGAATGCTCTATGTGCTGACTATCCCTTATAGTCATATATTTCCTCATGTAGTTTGTAATTTGTTATTGTGAGTTCACAATCAGCAAGCTTGTGTTATTTCATGGGAGTCTCATAATACCTTGGGTTTTAGAAGTGCCCCAACAGAACAACTTTGCATATGCAAACCCTGATGCCCCAGGGCTTTTGCCATTCTGGATCAATTTTATGGGAAATTTCTCAATTTGGGAATCCCACCCAAAGGGTACCATAAACTCACACCATTCATCCGCACGTGGCAAAGGCTTCGTGTGTTGTTTTCTCAGTGGAGAGTTGTTTACTTTTTCTACCCAGGTGACGAGCTTCCACATTGCTTCTTGACCAGTAGCCAGTTTCTGGCCACCTTCACATGAAGATGTAGCCCTTTGAGGATCCTAACTGTATGCAAAAGTCTCAGTTCCAGCCTCCCTGTCTCTTATGAGTGCAAAAGTCATGTCTCCACAAACTCCCAACATCTAGACTGGTTAAATAAAATATGGTATATTCCAATGGTGAAATACTGAGTAATCATGAAAAAGAATAAGACTTTGCTGTACATACAGGCATACCTTTTTTTATTGCACTCCACTTTATTGCACTTTGCAGATGCAGTGGTTTTTTTGTTGTTTTTGTTTTGTTTGTTTGTTTTACAAATTGAAGGTTTGTGGCAACCTGCATCAAGCAAGTCTATTTGTGCCTTCTTTTTTTCTTCCTTCCTTCCTTCCTCTTTCTCTTTCTTTCTTTCTTCCTTTCTCCCTCTTTCTTTCTTTCTCTTTTTTAAGATTTTATTTGTTTACTTGAGAGAGAGAGCACGAGTGGAAGGGGGACAGAGGCAGAGGGAGAAGCAGACCCCGCTGAGCAGGGAACCTGATGTGGGCTTTGATCCCAGGACTACAGGACGATGACTTGAGCTGAAGGCAGATGCTTAACTGACTGAGCCACCCAAGCGCCCCTCTTTTTTTTAAAGAGAACAAATTGGGGCACCTGGGTGGCTCAATCGGTTAAGTATCTGCCTTCAACTCAGGTCATGATCCCAGGGTCCTGGGATTGAGTCCCACATCGGGATCCTTGCTCAGCGGGGAGTCTGCTTCTCCCTCTGCCTCTGCCTCTCCCCCCCACCGCTCCCCGCTTGTTCTCTCTCTTTCTCACTCACTGTCTCTCTGACAAATAAATAAATAAAATCTTTAAAAAAAAAATAAAGAGAACAAATCTACACCTTTATTTACTTTTCAGTCAGTTTAAATCCTTGAGGGGTATAGCATCACATGGTTCAGTGGCCAATGGCCTTGGCAGGAAAGTTGCTTCAGAATTTGGCACAAGCCATGCCACTGTTTCCATGAGCACAAGTTAATTTTCCTCACATTACTCTATTTTTGTTCGGTTTGCCACCAGGAGTCACTGTGTTGTTCTTTGCTTCGTACACGTAAGCACATCTCTTGCCTAGACAGAATTCAGTTTCATGTTGAGCATAAACACCTCCAATTTTAAGAAGAGCTGTCTGCTCCTTCTGGTTTCAAAGAAAAATAGCCTTGGACCACAGCCTTCCAGATGTATTTGTCAATTTAGGAGTCCTGTTCCCAGGGATGCCTGGGTGGCTCAGTCGGTTAAGCGTCTGCCTTTGGCTCAGGTCATGATCCCAGGCTCCTGGGATCGAGTCCCACATCGGGCTCCTTGCTGAGCAAAGAGCTTGCTTCTCCCTCTGCCTGCCTGTCTCTCTCTCTCTGATAAATAAATAAAATCTTAACAAAAAAAAAGGAGTCCTGTTCCCAGCAGGCTCCACAGGCTCCAAGGTGGTAGAAAGAGTATTGGTGCAACTTTTCAAACAACATTTGCTCACTTCATGTCTCTGGGTCACATTTGGGTAATTCTTGGCCATATTTCAAACTTTTTCATTCTTACTATGTTTGTCATGGTGATCTATGATCAGTGATTGCAACTTACTGAAAGCTCACATGATGGTTAGCATTTTTTAGCAATAAAATATTGTAAAGTTAAGGTAAATGCATTGTTTTTTAGACATAATGCTATTGCACCCTTAATGGATGACAGAATAGTATAAACATAACTTTTATATGTACTGGGAAGCCAAAAAAAATCATTTGTTCACTTTATTGCAATACTCACTTTATTGCAATACTCACTTTATTGCGGTGGTTTGGAACCAAACCCACAGTATCTCTGAGGTATGCTTGTATTGATGTGGAAAGATCTAAATGAGAGAAGCAAATGTAGTTTTCTACAATTCACATAAGTATAATAGTATATATGCATTCATTTCAATGCATAAAATATCTCTGGAAGGATTCACAAAGAGCTAGTAACTTTGGCTGCCTCTGATGAAGAGAGAAGTGAAAGAGACTTACTTGAAATTTCACTATACACATGCCTATTTTTCTAGTAAAATACATTTGTAACAACCCAGTTTCTAGTTCTTTGGTTGTGTGCTCACCTCTCTAGTTTTGAGTTCCCTCTTCATTTTTGGCACCTGGGAATTTCTCTTTCGTTCAGACTCTGAATTTTTTTCCGGTATGTGTAATTTTTTTTAATCAAGAATGTCTATGTATTCAGAACAAAAGAGGAATCAACAGTAGCTTCTTTTACCCTCTTACCAGAAATCTGAAGCTTCCGCATAGAGATGCTTTTTTTTGTAGTTGACAGGAGCCAGTGATTTTGTTGTAACCCTTCCTTCTGCATTGTTATTGTTAATATGGTCTTAGTTGGCCTGTCCTTTTTCAAAAGCCCCCTTTTCTTCCTGGTTGCAGGCCTGCTGAAGTTTGCCGACGATCTTGGCATGGGAGGTGCCAGAACACAGACCATCTCCCTTGGCCAAGGCCAAGGCTCCATTGCTGCCAAAATGATCAACACTGCCATTATAGATGGGACCTGGGTGGTGTTACAGAACTGCCACCTGGCCACGAGCTGGATGCCCATGCTGGAGAAGATCTGCGAGGAGGTGATTGTTCCTGAAAGCACTAACATAAGATTCAGGTGAGGTGCCGCCCTGCCCACCCCCCCAACAGCCTGTTTCTGGGCCCCAACCTTGAGCTCCAGACGTCATGCTGGTGGCTGGGAATGCAAAGGTGAACAAACATAGTTTTGCTTTTAAGAAGCTCTCAGGCTAACAGATGACAGACCACAGATAAGTGATGTTGACACCATGCAATATCTACCGTACTTGTTTACACAAGAACCATGGAACACAGAAAAGGGAAGGGAAAGTTGGGGAATGCCTGGAGGCCTGATAGTTGCGTGGGGTTTTGAAAGATGAATAGGAGTTTGCCAGGAAAGACATTTCAGGCAGAAGGGACAGCATCTGTAAAAGCAAAAGTGTGTATGAAGGAAACACTGAGCCATTATTCTATGACTGTGGGGTATGTGCTGTGAGACATTGTTGTGGGATGTACTATGAGATGTGTCTGGGAAGGTAGATTCAATGTCAGCAAATCTGATTTTTTAAAATTGCGTTGAGGGCACCTGGGTTGCTCAGTTGTTTAAGCAACTGCCTTCAGCTCAGGTCATGATCCTGGAATCCTGGGATCGAGTCCCTCATCGGGCTCCCTGCTCAGCGGGGCGTCTGCTTCTCACTCTGACTTTCCCTTCTCTCATGCTCTCTCTCTATCATTATCTCTCTCAATAAATAAATAAAAATCTTCTAAAATTGTGTTGAAAAAAAACCTTACCTAAAAAAATAGAGAAGAAGAAGATAGCAGGAGGGGAAGAATGAAGGGGGGGAAATCGGAGGGGGAGACGAACCATGAGAGACAATGGACTCTGAAAAACAAACTGAGG